AGAATTTTACAATTCTGTCAATGGGTTTAAAGAGAATTTCTTCGTGGAAAACTTAGACAGTTATTAATTCACGGAAAGGAAATGCTATTCCAATGCACCGTGGATTTGGGGTAAATATGTGAATACTACTGCATTATTAACATATGGAAGATTGGGAGAGAGAAGCTGCATGCATCTTGGGTGAAGAATACGTTTTTTTTAATTCTCATCTCACATAATAGGAAGTCAGCATATTATGTGTAAAATTGAGGGGGAAAAAAAGTGCAGAATAAGATTACTACGGACAAGTGATTAAGTATGGAAAAAGCCTAAAACACGTGAAGGTGATCGTCACTGCGTGGAACAAATCAAAGGTAGGAAGGCTCTGGTTTTTTGTTGCCCGCTTTTTTGCAGAAGTTACTTTTGAATCATCCATTTAATACTTTGATCATTTTTAATATTAATTCATACTAATTGAAGACCATTTTAACTTGCAATGAATGCTGTAAAACAGAGTAATGAAGGGGGGCCTCGGAAAGGTGTCTTCAGAGTCCATTAGGACATGGTATAAAATAAGAAGTTTAATTGCCATGGCCTATACTACGATTGGAGTATAACATGTGTTCTGAACCTTAAAAATACTTCTGACATTTGATTCAGTATCCTGGCTCTAATTGGAGTCTACAATAAGGAAATAATCAAAGATGGGGTTAGTGGTTACTTAGTAATGTTCATTAAAATATTTTAAATGACAATTGAAAGCATCCTAAGTATATAAATATTGAGATTAAGTTAATGAAACATGCTCTATTTATACAGAATAATATGATGCAGTCATTTTGAAATAATATATAATTACATAGGGAGTATTCAAAGTAATCGCATCACAAAGAATACAAAAAGTAGTTTTTTTATATTTTATAATTATTATTTTACTAAGAAAATAATACTAGTTACTCCTAAGTAGTGAATAATGTTTATGGTTTTCTAACTGGATTTTCCATACTATTTGCAATGAGCAATTATGGATAAAAAAAAGGATGTTTTTATTTTTCTACAAAAGTAACTCAGAGTCCAAGTTCCTGTAATCTTTTCTTGTGGAGCTAAATTTCTTTTTAACAACAGTTTCTAATGTTTTTCTCTAGAATATTCCTTAATTTTCTATATTCTTAACAAAATTCAGATGAGAAAATAGAATCAATATTCTAATAAGAGTTTGGATGATGCTCTACAGTAGAGGAATTATCACCTCCCACACATCTTACTTGTATTAGCTCACATTTGTACCAAGTTTTTCTTTTAATTATACATTATGTTGCTGATTCATCCCTAAAGCCCTAGTGTATAATGAATGGTCTGGTTTCGGCAACATTTCCCCAAGCCAGTGTTTTTACTTTTTTTGTTGTTTTTTTTTTTAGACAGAGTCTCACTCTGTTGCCCAGGCTGGAGTGCAGTGGCATGATCTCAGCTCACTGCAACCTCCACCTCCTGGATTCAAGCAATTCTCCTACCTCAGCCTCCTGAGTAGCTGGGATTACAGGCACGTGCCACCATGCCCGGCTAATTTTTTGTATTTTTAGTAAAGACAGTGTTTCATCGTGTTTGCCAGGATGGTCTTAAACTCCTGACCTCGTGATTTGCCCTCCTCAGCCCCACAAAGTTTTGGGATTACAGGCATGAGCCACCACATCCTGCCTGTTCCTCCATTCTTTACCAGGCCCTGCCTTTCACTTGTTCCTCTCATGCCAACTTTCACTTTTGCTGATTATCTTGTTTAGGTGGCCTTTAAAATGTATTTCTACCCTTCAAGTTTAGGAATAACACTCAATTTCATAACACTGAAAAAAATGTGGTCAGCTGCAGTGGTTCATGCCTGCAATCTCAGCATTTTGAAAGGCCAAGGTGGGAGGATCACTTGATGCCAGGAGTTTGAGACCAGCCAGGGTTATATAACAAGACAGCCTCTACAAAAAATAAAAAAAGTAGCCAGGTGTGGTGGTATGCACCTTCAGTCCCAGATTCTCTGGAAGCTGAGTCAGGAGGATTGCTTGAGCCCAGGAATTAGAGGCTGCAGTGAGTTACGATCATACCACTGCACTCCAGACTGGGTGAGAGAGCAAAGCATGCAGCAAGGAAGGAAGGAAGGAAGGAAGGAAAGAAGGAAGGAAGGAAGGAAGGAAGGAAGGAAGGAAGGAAGGAAGGAAGGAAGGAAGGAAGGAAGGAAGGAAGGGAGGGAGAAAGAAAGAAGAAAGAAAAGTATGTGATGAGCTTACTTTGCAAGCCCTATCTAGACAAACCCATGTCTTTCTTTGTCTAGATCAATGAATCTCAAAAGGTGATTCAAACATCACTCATTTCAGAACCATCTTATGCTATAATAATTAAAAATGCAGATAAATAGGCTGTATCCCCCAGACTACTAACCAAAACCTATGGAGGGAGAACTCTGGAGTGTTTATTCTTTAAAAGCATGACTGGAATTCCTACACATGCTCAAATTGGAGAAACACAGAACCCAGGTTATTAGAAAGTAAACTTCACATATTTTTACATATGTGCCAAGTTGATAAGCTACTTTCAGAAGCTACTAGATTCTCTATCTTCATACTTATTCTCTTTCAGTTACTAGATCAATCATTCTAGCAGTTTATTCCTACTCCAGATTCTGAAAGAAGTTCTGTTCTTACCCTATTTGCAGAGACAGATTCAAGAAGCTTTGCAAGCCCTATGTAGGACAAACCCAGAGAGTATGATATACTGTATAATTATATTTTTATCACCTTGTCAGGAAGACAAAACTATAGTGATTGAGAACAGATCAATTACTTATCAGAGTTAGGGAAGAAAGTATTACTAAAAAGGAATACCATGACAGAGGCTTTTTTTGGTGGAGGTGGGGAGGTCAGTGAGAGAATTGTTCTATATTCTGATTATAATGATTGTTACACAGATGTATTTTAAAACATATTAAACTATACAATTTCACTGTGTGTTGATTTTTTAATTTTAATTTTATTTGCTAGAGAATTTTCCTAAAGATATAAAAATTCTCCATTTATTTAGATGTTCTAGATCATATTCTTGGATAAAGTTACATTTTTCAGAGAGCTTTAAATCTACATTACATTGTTTTACTACCTCTACAAATGTCTTGTAATAGATTTTGCTTTGATGCTGCCCCAAAGGCTGACATCAAAATAGATTGTAAGAAATAGACATTAGAAACATTATTATGCTAATTCTTGTGGTGTTCTTAAGGTGATATTTAATGATGATGATAGTGATGATAATTTCTAAAATGAAGATTATTTCCAAGAAATAATTATGTCCAATTGGTTGACAGGCTGTAAGAGCACAAAGTTAGGGAGACGGGGAATGTAAATGTTATCCTGAGGACTATAGTTCTTCCAGGGTTTGACTACCTAAAGAAGTGAATTCCTCTGCCATTTGTCTTCCCTATCTATTTCTAAGGTGTCAAGTTTGTTGATTCAGGAATAAATGTGAAGGGTGAAGTGTGATTTTTCCATTAACAAAATTCACCTTTCTTGACCTTTTCTATTTAAAATGTATTTTTTTGTCTTCCTTCATGTAGCCAGTTGAGAATACTCAAGAGAATAAATTGTTCTCAGCTTTCCGTGTGAAGCAAATATCACCCTGGCATCACTGAGATTTCTTCCGACTCACAACTTTCTCCTTTTGTTAATGGTTTCACCACTAAAGTCCTACAGAACACTCAAGAAATAAGCCATATAAACATAAAATACACCAATACCAGAAGGTAATAGACATAGAAGCCTTAATTTTTTATTATTTTTTGAGACAGGGTCTCACTCTGTTGCCCAGGCTGGAGTACGGTGCCACAATCAGGGCTCACTGCAACCTTGAACCCCGGGGCTCAAGTGATTCTTCTGCCTCATCTCCTAAGTATCTGGGACTACAGGCATGCACCACCACATTCAGCTAAATTTTTTTATGTTCTGTAGAGACAGGCTCTCCCTATGTTGCTCCAGCAGGTCTCAAACTCCCAAGCTCAAGGGATCCTCCCTGCTCAGCCTCCCAAAACACTGGGATTATAGGCATAAGCCACTGCGGCTGGCATTCTTAAATATTTTACTGCATAAGTTTAAGGTTTATGTGATGATTTTTGATTTACATAGAGACAGGGAAATGATTATATAGTCAAACTAATTAATATAGCCATCACCTTACATAGTTACCTTTGTGTGTATATATATATATATATTTGTATGTAGCAAAGCACCAAAAATCTACTCTATTAGCAAATGTTCAGCGTATAATACAATCTTATGAACTATAGCTCATAAGTTGTAAATTACTTCTCTAGAATGATCCATCTTACATAACTATAAATTTGCACCCGTTGACCTATATCTCCCCATTTCTTCCCCTTCTCTTCTCCTGGAAACTACTCTCTGTTTCTCCATGAGACCATGCAATATTTTGCTTCCTTTGTCTGGCTTATTTTGCTTAGCACAAATGTCTTCCAGGTTCGTTCAAATTGTCATAAACGGCAATGTGAGGGGGATCATAAATGTTAACACAGCTTCTGCGCATTGATTCTCCTACTTGGCATTATAAACATTGAACCAGAAGGAAGACAACAGGAAACTGAAAAGTATTCTTCAAAAGCTAGAACTTTATTGAGTGGCATAGCACATTAGAGATTGAAGCAGTTAGGCCCAATTTTAACCCACAGATTTCCTACTCACGAGTATAATATGAACAAGAAGAATGAATGAAGCACATCATGCAATTTACCATGGCCTATTTACTCCTTCCTTACAACAACATCCATTTAGTGGATGAAATGCTTGCAATAGCAAACCGTTAACTTCCTGAGAAATGCAGTAGGAAAATATATCCTTAAAGAATGAATCAAGAGGAAAGAAATAAAGTGAAACTCACATTTATATGGCTGAGTTAACGTATTTATTAAAATGTGGAAATCAGTAAAATACAATTCACCTAAAGTTAAGGGAAAATCAAATCCACTGGGGCAATGTAAAATAAAAAACAGTGTTCTATCAAGAAAAGCTAAGACTTTTTAAAAGTGCAGCCCACAAAGTTCATCATCAGTCTACTTTGCACAGTTCAAAACAGAGAGAATCTAAAACCCACATTTTATCACCTGGAAAGCTGTCAATAAAATATCTCTTCAAGTTTGATTCCTTAGGACACTGATTATAATATAGTTTCGATTGTCAGAACTTAATAGAGGTCTCATGTCAATATCTTCTGTCATCAAGTGGCCAGAGCCAGCTTAGCTATAGCCAAAACTCACACCCACTGGTGGATGGGTGCTAACACATCCACAGCCAACACCATCCCAGGGGAGAGCCACAACTGCCCTACTAGGAGCCAGGGAGATGAATCACTGAAGAGGCCAAAGGACTTCTTGTTAGTTGAGTGTTTAGTACAAAGACTACTAAGAATGACTTACTACATCTCTCCAAAATCTTTCATACATCCCCAGTAGAGGGTGTGGTGACAGAGTCCCCTTGTTCCATGGCATATTCATTGCTCTTAAAATTGCTTGAGGTTGGCTGACTGCCTAGTGTCCCTTTAATGAGGCTAGTCCCTGCAATGAGAAGCCACAGGAATGTCATCAAAGTCTTTGGTAAAAGCAGACTCCTAGCTTATCCACCAAAAAACAGGCTTCTAAATAACCAGAAATATTCTTACTATATTGCCTAACATTGCTTGTGAGATTACACACATTTTGGAGGCACATAAAAGGGATTATGAATACTATCTAAACTATGAGATTAAACATATGCACACTCTTCTCCCAAGAAATTTTGATATGTGATTGAGCTTATTATGGCTGCTTTCAAAACTAATGCAAATCTTCTGTTAATCAGAATAGATGCTCAGTAAGAAATAAATACTTTAGGAATAAGATACAGTGAAATCATAAAGTATAATATAAATGCATGTTAAAATCACTGTTTTCTTTCATTCGTCCCAAATCTAACTCATAAAAGTGGTTCATGAAATGATTCCATATTTGTTTGCTGAATCAATTCACTTAATACTCTAAGCAGTGTTTTACAAACATATCACACACTGAAACTCCTGGAAAGAGATTTATGTCTTCTTCATACAAAGTGTTTCACTGACCCTCCAGGTCTCTCGATGCAGGAGAAGGAAAGAAGGCAGCTTGAAAATTTGCTTTTTGAAAATGTTTCCAGTTAATGCTGATCTCAGTGCTGGTCCAGGGACCACACATTGAAAAACGTGGTTCTGGAGATGAGATAAAATTGAAGAGAAAAACAAGATATTAAAATGTATGTGCATAGTCACATATGTTCATGTGAATATTCAGTTAACTTTTTAATTGAATTTCAAATTAAACATGTATGCAATTATATTTCAATATATATAGTCATTCTGTATTTATTATTTAAGATCCAAAGTAGATTGGTTGGATTTGATTATTGGCCTTTGGATACTAATATGTAAATTAAATTTACCTGGACGTCACTAATTTCTCCTTTCAAATAACCCAGGCTTAACATCTTTTGGTAATACTTTAAAATCAGTCTTCATTTTACTAAATTTAAAACATTTTTATTGTAAAATATAAATGAAAACATCACCATCGTAAACATATTTACACCAGAAAATGTATTCAAACCACATGTTCTATGTCAATACAGGTAAGTTTTTTTAAAAAAAAAGCATTCTCATATTTCAAAAGAGCATCACAAGTCTGGATAAGGAACTCCTGGAAAAGTTCAGACACTTACAGGCTGAAGTAACACATCTTGAAGTGAACCTGATCCACTGTAAGCAGAGGCTGGATTTGCTCAAGCAGCACCTTGGGATTCAAAGAACAGAAGAATCAGACTGCAAACAAAAGAACAAAATGCCCTGCAAGTGATCAAGTATTCAATAAGAAGATTAATCAATAAAGTCCTGTTGCCCGATCTCTTGCATAGCCAAGTAGCTGGTATCCTCTGTAGCTGTAACAGGCGGAGGACTGCAGGTAAGAAGGCACTGCCATCCCCACAGGCAGCACTGCAGCTCAGGGAAACCCACAACTTCCCAGCAACCATTTTGGTAGTTCTCAGAGAAGAAGTTATATCACCTTCTCCAAGGAATAAAGGTTTGATCAGGCAGCGAGGTCAGTGGTTACATACAGCACATAATAGGATCCTTCTTCCTTTGTGACTCATGTAACCTCACCAGAGGCTGTGATGAAGAAATGTACCTCCTTCCTTTATTAGATCAAGGGAATTAGTAGTCTCATTAATTTCCTAGATCTCCTTGAAAAAAAGAGATCCTCATTATTCTTGAAAGAAGTTTGAGCTGAAGAAGGATTCTACTTTATGGGATTTTTTTTTTTTTTTTCTGTAATGAGAAGTTACTGTAGTGTCTTCAAAGTCTTTGGTTAAAATGGACTCCAAGTTGGATCCTCCAATTATCAGACATCTCAAGAACAAAAATAATGCCAATTGCAATACCAAACTGTGCTTTTGGTCTACAGGAATTTACTAAATGTCCTCATGCTTCATAAAGCCCTATACCAGGATTTGAAGTAGAGATATTAAACAGTTTGTAGACCTAACAACCCTTTCAAATTACAAGCAAAGGCAAAGCAGACAAGCCTACAATCAACGTACATCTATGCAGCTAAATGCCGTAGTTATAAAAGGTTGAGTGGAGGTAGTGAGGCAGGAATAATAGCAGTCGTTTGAGTGTATATAAAATGCCATAGATGAATTATACTTCAAGTTCTGACGTTAGGACCAGTGAGAGTGTGGCATAGTACTTATAAACTACAAAAGCAAAGTTTGAAAGCTGCTGGCAAGCACTGAGATCTGGGATGAGCCTCTAGCGTGTCTCTTTTTTATTTCTTTCTTCCCTGGCTTTCTATCTCTGGGCAATGCAACTTTGAAGAGCTTATTCATCCCATCATTCTAAGGCAAGGCATAAAGTCATTTTTGACATTTATGAAAAAAATTACTTATAAATACTCTCTATTTGATATGTCTAAAATCTAAGGGACCCAGTTAAATGAATGTCACTGAGACCTGGGGGAAGTAAAATTGCTGCATGGTGTTACTGCTTCAGCCTCTCAGTGGATCCTGTCCAAATGGCATCTGTAGCCTGTCCTGACATCTTGGGAGGCCATTTCTGGGCTCATAGTCTACACATGCATGGACTCTCTCCGGGGTATCACAAAAAATCCCAGCCAAATATTGCTGTGTTCATGGTTTGAATAAATGATTTCAATGGATCTCATCTACAAGCTTAGATATGATAGACTGGACAGGGAAAATGTGGCACATATACAGCATGGAATACTATGTAGCCATCAAAAATGATGAGTTCGTGTCCTTTGTAGGGATATGGATGAACCTGGAAACCGTCATTCTCAGCAAACTGACACAAGAATAGAAAATCAAACACCGCGTTTTCTCACTCATAGGCAAGTGTTGAACAATGAGAACACATGGACACGGGGAGGGGAGCATCACACATGGAAATAGGGGTGGGACAGCAGGGGATGGGGAGTTGGGGAGGGATAACGTGGGGAGAAATGCCAGATATACGTGATAGGGAGGAAGGCAACAAACCACATTGCCATATATGTACCTATGCAACAGTCCTGCATGTTCTTCACATGTACCCCAAAACCTAAAACTTAATAAAATATTTAAAAAAAGAAAAAAAAACATAGCAGTCTCTTTTTCATTCATCATAGTTTTATTGAGGAGATAAGATGAGCTCAACGCTATGCCTTATTTTGGGAACACGGGGGTGAATAATACCGAGCGAAGTCCCTTTACAGAGTGTGTTTTCAGTTCTATAGAATGCAACTGGAGTGGATTCTGGTTAGCAGAGAGGAAGGCGGCAAGGCTTCAGCATCCAACACACCCAGATTAGAAACCCCACTCTGCCGTATTCTAGCTTTGAAACTATGAACATGTCATTTGAACTTTCTGAACTCCAGCTTCCTCAAGTGTTAAATGGGGATAATAGAACCTGGAATAAACCCATTAAACGGGGTTGCAAAGAGTAACAACGACCCACTGCAGGCCCAGAAATAATATTGGTTAGTTTTGCCTCTTCCCTAATTATGTTTGCCTCTGAAATGACTGAAAAATTATGCTGGACTACATGCAAAATGATGGCCTACAATCTCAAATAAGCCAAATTGAGAAGATAGTCAGCATCATAAGAAATTAATGAGATAAAAACATGTGCTTACCAAGAATTTAGCTCTAAAGTCATTAGGCTGTTCTAAAGATGTATACGAAGAGGAGTAAGTGGGTTTGTTTGTTGGTTGGTTGTTTTTTTGTTTTGGTTTGGTTTGGTTTTTGTTAGTCTGTTTGTTTTTTGAGATGGAGTCTCACTCTATCTCCAGGCTGGAGTGCAGTGGCATGATCTCGGCTCACTGCAACCTCTGCCTCCCGGGTTCAAGCGATTCTCCTGCCTCAGCCTCCCAAGTAGCTAGGATCACAGGCATCTGCCACCAAGCCTGGCTAATTTTAGTATTTTTAGTAGAGACGGGGTTTCACCGTGTTGGCCAGGATGGTCTTGATCTCCTGATTTCGTGATCCACCCACCTCGGGCTCCCAAAGTGTGGTTGGTTTTTAAGTATGATTTTCTTGCACATGTCAGAAATCTATGGGTTGAAATATGCACTGGACAAAAGCTATACACTTTGGATGACTCTGAGAAAGGCCACTGTTTGTCTGAAGGAAAATTATGAAAAACCAAAAATCACCCACATGAGTATGAAGCATTTCTAGTTTCCGCTTTGCCTTCGGTGTCAAAAGCTATTGTCAAAAGAGCAAGAGAAGCCTTTTCTGGATAAGAAAAGATTTACACTTTGGATTAAATTTACCAAGTGCCAACATCATCTATTCTTCAGTTTTTTACGTTTGTGTCCTTTGGCATCTTTACTGAGAAGAACTCAGATTTATAAGACATTAGATAATCTTCCCGAGGTATCCATTGTGGCTGAAAGCTTTTTAGGAGGTCTGGAAAGCAGGGCCAGTATGAATCTTTGGGAAAGGTGACTTCTTATGACTATGATATTACCCTGTGCTAGGAAGGCTCCTCTTTTGGCCTAGCTTCTTGGTGAGAAGCTGTTCTCAAATCCACTTAGGAACTGACCTTTCTATAACCAAATCTATGGGAATAGAATATAATCCTGAAGAAAGACACAGATGCAAAAGGGACAAAAATACAGGAAAAGAAAAAACAGGAGGGAGGGAAAATTATTTGGCCATTTCTTATGCGCAGGAATAACATGAATAGAGTACAGGACTCCTGCTTTTATCAGATCCACTACAGCTCCCCTATCCTCACATTTTGGGGCATCATCATTTCATGGTCAACAGCTTCGTTGGATAGCATCACCAGATACACTGGTCACATAAAGGGTGCCATTTGGAGAACGTTTTTCCGCCAACCTTATAAGAGAGTGCAGATGTCAGATGCCTTCAAAATAGCCATTAAAGAATACATGAGAAATGTTAACTAGGTTATTACATAACATATTATTTATGTTAGTTAGCCATGAAAAACTCTGTGGGACTCTGAACCTCCCCTGTGAGTCAAATGCATAAATTCAAATTAACATTTGTATATTCAGTTACCGCTGGTGACTTATCACTTGTGGTCAAGGGATTGGGAAACCTAATGATGAGGAATGGGGATCTAATTGGACTTACTGGGGGGTCTCTCTAGAAGGTTCTTCTATACCTAAGATGACTTTAATATTGAAATCAAGTTCTCAGTTATACAGACTGTATTACTCAGGGAAGTGTTAAAGATAACACAGCTTGGTTTTCAATTAGAAAAAACATGCAATTGATGGTGAAATAGAAAATCAAAACAATACTTCCTGTGTGACTTTGTGAGATAAACCTAAGTCATAAAATGCACAGACATCAAGCTTCCAACCCACGAATGGTTATGAATTAAAGAATAGCACTGCAGATGGTAGCAAACAGATGTTTAACATCTTTTTCGTGTTTATTGAGGAAAGCGCCTGATAATCTAGTCATATATATTGAGTTTCTACTATGTACAGTGCACTAAACTGGGCTCAGATCAATACCAGAGTTGATAATGCAATTAGAAATGAATACAAAACTACACTCTATACAGGCTACCATTAAGCCTTAATGCAGCAGTAAATGTTCGTTCTAGACTTTTCTTAAATTTACCTGTAACATTTTACTTACTGTTTTCATTTTTATGAATTCTATATGGATATGGCAAAATTATCTTGGTTTTTAAATTCAAAATAAAAGAAGAGAACCGAGAAGCACAGAAAAGAACAGCCACGAAAACAGACCCTGTAACTGTTCTAAATTGATGGCATAAAATCACATTACTTAAAGGGATTTTTTTTAATACAAATCCCCAGACCCCAGAGATCTTCCCTTCAGAATGTTCAGGGGTGGGATCTTATATGCATTTTTAAAAGACCTATAGATAATAGAATTCAATTTCAGTTTTTAAAAAGAATCATCAAATAATGTCGAGTAATGCAGGTGCACTAGGAATTTGTGCATTTCTATGCAGTAGGAAAAAGTGAATTTATAAAATCCTTCCACAATGTACTGTTTCCTTTTAGCATGGCATTGAGCCTTTAGCACCAGGCTACGAATATCTACTTAATAGATTCTTTCTCTATCTAAAAATAGTAGACATTTTTATAGCCAAAGCAATCTTCAGTTTGAAACTTTCTAGCAACCACATATTAACTCAAGTTGAAAGGTGCTAAACACAGATGTTGTACCTCCTGTTCTCCTTTAGGGATTTAAAGAATGTTCCACCCTCTATCCTTGTCTTGTT